AAGCATTCTTGCTGAGTAGGCCAAGGATGCAGGCCCTGACTACTCTTTGCCCAGGCCATTTGTCAGGGTTGTGTTTGCAGTAAGCAACTTTGAGGGATGAAGTAACATCTCTTCCCAGTCAAAGAGCAGCCTTGCTCACCGTTCATGACAAAAGTGATAGATTCTATAAGCTCACTGTTCCTCACCTATGTCACAAACCCAGGCATCCACCTAAGCATACAACTAGGCCCACCTCCATCACCTCCACGGGACTTGGAGTGCATAGAAAACTGGCAGCAACACCATGCTTATGCTCCTTGTTGTGCTGTGAGTAACAAAATCTTCTGCCAGCATCTGTGAAACAGTAACAGGCTAACTTGTTAATTTGCAAGTAGGGTAAAATCCCAGACCCTTCATGCGGCCTGCCAGTTTGGGTGACAAGGATAAGATGCTGATAGAGATGGCGTTCTGGAAAAGGGCCCTTGTTGGTCAGGTTAGAGGGTATCAGAAGGCTCTCTGAGATCTGGAAGTAAATGCTTTTGCATAGGTGGTGGTGAAAGTAAGAGGGTAGAGTGAAGATCTCTCACTATCTTATGTGTTAAATGAGGCTGAGAAACAAAAGGTAGGGTCCAAACAAGACTCCCAGATGGTGCTTTGGTTGTGGCACATTCTCCTCTGGAGTGGGAGAAGGAAAGGATGTTTTCCTGACATCAATGGGACAGCAAGCCCCACACCCCAGCCAAAAGTCATGCAATGTGGCTATGGCTGATGGGTCAAGGGTTCCCCAAAGCTGAAATAATGGTGTTAGCAATGAAGATATAGAACTTTGCATAGGCTAAATACGTTAGAAATTTGTTTGTTGAGTCCAGCGACGGGAGGCCCTTTGAAACAGAGTAAATTCAAACCCTTGCTGACTGGCACCGAGCTGTTCTTTCCCTCCTCCACTCCTCCAACTTGAGCTGCTTTAGGGAAGAAGGCTGAGTGTGCCAGGGAATTTCAGGGAGGGGAGAGGAGGAACTCAATGTTTATAGCTTTGTTGGATGTGGGCGCCCATGTCTACTTGGTCCCATGCAGGGAGGATGTGCTAAGTGCCAGGGTGGCCCAAAGTGCTGAGGATACAGGGCAGAGCAGTGGCACCAGTGTTGGCTAAAACAATGATGCCCCTGAGCCCCAGTGCTCTCCAGAAGCCAGGGGAGCCCAGGGGAGGAAGTAATACCAATTCTGGGATGAGAAACCAAAGGGCAAATACACATTTGTATTCTCTATCTCCCCCAGCTGGGAAACAGCCTAATCTCCTGAAACTATCAATGATAACCCCTGAAGTACCTATGTTAATATCTTTGATCTGTGTTCCCATAGAGCAAAATTCAACTGATAGGGTTTGAGCAGTTTGCAGTGAGAAAGGGAAGTTAAAGAACATTCAGCTGATTCAACGTACTGCAGTTGTGTCCCCTGAATATAAATATAATGTATTCTGTGTTGCTTGCTTTTATTGTAAACATTCATAGTGATGAGAGGACATTCTCCCATTCAGGGATTCTCTGACCCCTTCCAAGTGGTCCAATAGAAACAATATAGAATCCCAGGTGAAAAAGAGAAAATCACAGCCATCTCCAGAGGCCATTGCCCAGTACAGCAGCGCCACACGCTGGACACAGGCACCAGATACATCCTGTATTAGTTTTCTGGGGCTGCCATAACAAAGTACCACAAACTGGGTGGCTTAAGCAACAGAAATATATTGTCTCAGTTTTGGAGGCTGGAAGTCCAGAGTTAGGATGTCAGTAGGGTTGGTTGCTTGTGAGGGCTGTGAAGGAAGGCTCTGTTTCAGGACTCTCTTCCTGGCTCATAAATGGTGTCTTCATATTCACATGGCCTTCTCCCTGTATGCACATCTCTGTGTCCAAATTTTATAAGGACACAAGTCGTATTGGATTAGAGCCCATCCTAATGACCTCATTTTAACTTGATTACCTCTGTAGAGACTCTATCTCCAAATAAGGTCACATTCTGAGGTAGTGGGGGTTTGGACTTTAACATATGAATTTGGATGGGGGGGATGGGACACAAACCCATAACAGACCCCTTTCAAAATGGGGAGGCAGTTATTGGCCTATTACTGAGCTCCTGTTCAAAATGAACACCTTACCCCTGGAGAATTTGTGACTCAGGCCTGACATCCCATTTTTTGGTGGGTCAACTAGGAGATGACAACTACAAGGAAAGCACCCATTTGCTGGTCAAATGAAAATAATGTATTTGAGGATGTTCCTAGCCTGGCCCTGGTGTCATCTCAGTTTTACATAAAGGAGTAGTAGCTACCCTTTGGTGAAAACTTTATCCCTGACTCTGCCACCTGAAGCAAAGCTACTGGCTCAGAAGGCCCTTGGGTTCACAGAGACTGTCCTAAATGCCTGGGCCTGGTTCACCTTTGGTTCAGCTAAGCTGAAAACTAATGGTGCTGATAGTGTTCCGTCCAGTTTGACCCTCAACACCAGCTATAATGGTCGCTGGGATCAGTGGGCAGAAGTCAAGGCTGTTCTCAAAGCTCTGCTCAATTGCACTGAGGGGGCAATCTGCCATGGTCCCTGAAGGTCCCCCCACATTCTGGGTAAGCCAAGAATGCAAGGCCCAGGCTGCTGTTTATTCAGGCCATTTCTTGAGGTTGTGTTTGCAGGGAACAACCTTGAGGAAGGAGTTAAAGTTCTCCCCACCTCAACTCCACCAGCTCCTCATTAACTAGAAAAGCAGCAGATTCCCGAAGTTCAAGGGTGCCACAACCCACTGAGTGCACAGCACCCATGTGAACCCATCTTTGTCACCTCTGTGAGACTTGAGAGGCATGGGGAATTGACATGAACCTCATGCTTATGCTCTTGCTGTGCTGTGAGTAATAAAGTCCTCCATCTGATGTAGGTGTCTCCTGTGTTCTGCCAGCATCCATGGGATAGTAATAAGCTAATCTCTTAGCTTGCAAGTAGGGTAAAATCCCAAACCCTTCACAGACCCTGACTTCTGACATAAAAGTAAAAGCCCTGTAGTTTTCAGAGGTCTTGGACAAGGACTCTCTGAGTATGTGACATACTTTGCTGGTTCATAAACCTAATGTTTGGTCTCCTCTAGGTCACTTTGTTCTGTTAAACAATTCAATGCCTATTCTTTCAACAGTTCCATTCCCCCCAAAGAGATCTTTATCCTGCACAAGACAGTCTTATCACTCTTTAGTAGCAATAATAACAGCAACAACTAATGCTTATAGAGTGAGAGACACTGTTCGAAAGACCTGAGGCGTTATTCTACACACTCTCTATATACCGTCATCTTTACTCCTCATAGCAACCCTCTGAGGGGGTTACTATAACCTCCAGTTTACAGGTTAGGAGACTGAAGCAGAAGCCACACAGTTAGTCAGGAGGTGGAACTAGGATTCAAACCCAGGCTGCCTGGCTTTGGTCCTCACTTTTAACCACTCACTATATGTCTCACAATAGGACCGTCTACTCCCAGGGCCATAATGAACCACAGAGGCCTAGAGATCTTTGTTAGACGTCTTAGGAAAATAATTTCAGTCAAACTTTTTTTTTTTTTTTTTTGGGTGCACTGCGCTGCATGTGGGATCTTTGTTCCCTTTTTTTTTTGCGGTACGCAGGCCTCTCACTGCTGTGCCCTCTCCCGCCGCAGAGCACAGGCTCCGGACGCGCAGGCCCAGTGGCCACGGCCCATGGACCCAGCCGCTCCGCGGCATGCGGAATCCCCCCGGACCGGGGCACGAACCCGTGTCGCCTGCATCGGCAGGCGGACCCCCAACCACTGCGCCACCAGGGAAGCCCTCAGTCAAACTTTTATTACTTGATTGATGTATAACATTTTAAAATACCTTTTGATAACCTATATTAAGCATTTAGACAATCTTCTACTTTGCTTTGATCTTTTTATCCAGCCATTGTATAAATCCAATGTCGAATGTTCATACTGTATTAAAATTTCCTATTGCTGCTATAGCAAGTTATCAAACTTAGTGGCTTAAAACAACACAAACTGATTACCTTACAGTTCTGAAGGACAGAAGTCCAGAATGGACTGGAGGGACTGCATTCCCTCTGGAGGCTCTAAGGGAGAATCTGTATCCTTCCCTTTTCCAGTTTCTAGAGGTTGCCTGAATCTTTTGGCTCATGGCCCTTTTATTCCATCTTCAAAGTCATCAATCAGCATAGCATCTTCTAATCTCTCTCTCTCTCTGACTCTGACCCTCTTGCCTCCCTTTTTCCCTTATAAGGACCCTTATGATTACACTGGGCCCATCCAGATAAACCAGGATAGTCCAGGGTCTCCCCCAATTCAAACTCCTCAGCTTAATCACATTGCAAAGTCCCTTTTGCCATGTAAGGTAACATATTCATAGGGATTAGGATGCAGATGTCTTTTTGGCAGGGTGGGGGAGGGGCATTATTCTACCATACACTCTAAGCAGTTCTCTCTTCCTGCAGTATGGAAATTTTTACATTAGATATCTAGATTAGAGATTTAAACAAGCCCATTCACCAGATAATTAGTAGTCTACTTCATCTTGGCTTTGAGGGTAGAGCACCGAGGGCATTTTACCTTTTGGGAAGTTAAGGAGAACATAGTGTTGGAGCACATGTGACAGAAACTTTAACCACTGTAACAACATAAAAGCTTAATTATCTAAAAATGTATCTGAAGGACTTCCCTGGGTGGTTAAGAAACCCCCTGCCAATGCAGGGAACTCGGGTGCAAGCCCTGGTCTGGGAATATCCCACATGCCACGGAGCAACTAAACCCATGCACCACAACTACTGAGCCTGTGCTCTAGAGCCCGTGAGCCACAACTACTGAGCCCATGTGCCACAACTACTGAAGCCCATGCTCCTAGAGCCCGTGCTCTGCAGTGAAGACTAGCCCCCGCTCTCTGCAACTAGAGAAAGCCCACATGCAGCAACGAAGGCCCAACGCTGCCAAAAATAAATTTTTTAAAAAAAATTAAAAAAATAAAAATGTACCTGAAGTCGGGCATTCATAAGCATGAACTCCTGCTGGCTCTTCATGTTCTCATTCATAGATTTTGAAAATATAAACCCCATCTTGACCTAAAATGTAAAAAAGCAAAGTTTAAAACAATATATTCTACATGCATCCTCATATGCTCTGTTTTCAGGCTACCATGAGCTTAAGACAAAGTAAAAAAAGAAAATTTTCTGACCTGGGAACACAGTATGGACACTAGTCTTTGCTCCTAACCAGTTGTCTGATCTTGGACAAACTTAACCAGTCTGGCCATCATTTACTTACATAAGAACAGCCGATTGAACTGGATGATTTCCAAAATCTTTTCCTGCTCTATAGCTTCATGTTTCCTGATTTTTCTTCCCACTGTATATCTTGAAGAACTGAGCACTTAAAAACAAACAAACAAACAAAACGCTCTCATTTTTAGGAGGGGCAGGGTGAATACCATCCACCCTTTTACCTTCTGTACAGCTGGATGACAGAACCTTTGCTTCTGAGGAGGAGTGATTTAGAAGATGCATTGTACACCGTGAAGACCGATTTCTCTGTGCTCCTTGCATTTGTATTTTAGGACGTTTTAGGTATCTCAAGGTTACTATATCAATACTCTTCCTATAATCCCTACCCCTCTCCTACCCACTTGCTCTTTCCATCCACCCACTGCTAATATCCCTTGGCCATCCTCTAGCCTCACTTTTTTCTTCTTAAGCTACTACTGAAGTTCTCAAAAGGGGGAAAACGTAAGGATACTTAAATGTTCTGGGAAACACAAATTTTAAATGAATACATGGTATCGCCTATCTTATTTATCTTCACTTAAGAAGTTCTTAAGTGGGCTGGCAATTCTAGATGGTCCAGAACTCCAATTTTTATTCTTAAGTCAATTGGGTAGGTACAGAAGACCTCAGTTAGTTGTTGATTCTACCTTCAGAAGACTGCAGAACTCAGGGAAGTTACGACTACTCTACCCGCTTCAGCGATGTTGCTGATTCTCTTTGGTAGGCTGTTGAGTACTTTGTGAACATCAGGTCAGAGTGGCCATTCCTAATGCTTTCTGCCCAGAATTCACAATATTCTTTGGGAAGCCCAGACAGAGTTCCTATTTTCCATAGCCTCAGCAGAAAATCTTAGGTTCTAGCTAACTGGTGAGAAGATGGTGGGAGAGGGAGGATATTTCATGCCAGACGCAATGGGTTATCCCTGCTAATGGGGCTCCAAGTGAGTGTATACTACAAGCCAGACTTCAGTGGCTTCCCTGTAATTTGGCCAGAGATGCACCCTGGATTTATAGGGGTCTCCGAGCCAGAGTCAGCTTCAATGCTAGGCACAGGAGGCTGAGCCAGAGGAGGAGAGGCAGAGTCCTGAACAGGCCTGGGAGGTCATGAGATTTCCCTACCCACCCCACCCCTCGGCCGCTGCCCTGCTCCATCCTGTGAGTGACCAGAGGCAGAGTCACCCAGTAAGGGTGGGCAGATCTAGCAGAAGTTCTCTGCTGTCTCCAGATTTGACAGCCCCAAGTCCATTGTCTCCAACAGCAGAGCAGAACTTGCCTGAAGGCAGAAGCAATATATTATCCATTTTGGCAGTCACCAAGGTGTTTCTTTCCCACAAATGTGCAGAAAGCATGAGTGATACAAGAGAAAGTGTAGCTCAGGCAGTTGCCATTCCTTATTTTTCTTTTGCACGTAGGAGTAGATCATTAAGTTTTTACATGTGCAGCAAACATTTATAAAGAAAACAGCTGTCCTCTAATCCCATTTACACACACACACATACACACACACCCTGTATGTCAGAGTTATGTTCCTTAGAGTGCTCCTATTTATAAGGGGGTGGACTCTCCCCTGAAGCGGAGTGACAATCCTCATGTCAGTCATCCAGGGAAGAGAAACTATGTGGAACGTTAGGATTTAGGCTTACCTTTTTCTTGTCCTTGCTCTCTTGGGTCTGGATTGTACTTTGGATGTATCAGGGGATATTCCCACGGGTTAAAGGTAGAAGCCAAGCAGGAAGAAGAGCTTTCCCTTGGTTCCCAAAGGAGACCACACCTGAAAATGAGTGCACCACACCTTGTGAACTGTGCCCTGGAATTCGGTATTTTCAACCTTCTTCTCCTTCTTTTCCCACCCTAAGAAAGCCATTTTCCAAAGTCTGGGAGGTTCCTTAGGGTATCCACAATACTCTCAGCTTTCACTCTCCCACTCACAGAATATATATCAGAAGATAAACAAGAGTGACCTTGCAATAGGAGTAACTTTGAATTCACCAAATTGTATAAAGGTGAGTCTTTCAAAAATGCTAACGCTTTGTCATTGGTGACAAACGCCTTGCTACTTAAAACTTTGACACCAGCACGTGTCAGAGGGCTAAGAATGCTGATTTGGGTACTTTCTGCTTTCGTTTTTCCTTCAGTTACTCCTGAGACCGTAGAAAGGACTCTTTAATGCTCCAACCCTGCCTCAGCTGTGCTACAGATTACAACAGGCATGGGTATTTCCGAGGAAGAAGTGTTGGGACCGCAAGTTCCAGGCAGCCCTTCTCAGGTTGCATCTAGGAGCCAGGATTTGACTTTACTTTAAAAAGAAAAAAAAAAGGATAATTCCATGACCCATAACCTCTGTCATCCAAGTTTCTGCGCTGACTCATTTCCTGATCGAATGACACATTAACTACCTACATTTGACTGGTTGCATGATTACAATCATTTTCAATAAGTCTTTGGGTTCCATCCCAACTAGCCCATTTCCCCTGCAAATTCCAGCCGAGAACTCACAGCTTCATGTAGGTTTTCTGTAATTTATAACTCCACCCGCTCATCCTGGACCCAATCACAGTAACTTGGGAATTCCTGCAGTGGTATGCTGATTTCCGTTGATAACGCTCTGCCTACTTCCCCCAACTTAATTACAATGGTATGGGAGAGGTCTGGAGTCTTTAGCACTAGAATCGGTTCCTCCGAAACGAGGTTGGCGATACTAGGAGCGGGAGAGCCAAGGGCACTCACGAGGAGAGGACACCCAGCGCGGCCCGGCAAGCCCAAGGCCCTGAGCTCGGCGCCGGCAGACGCAGACGCAGCCCCGCGGACCCGCCCTCCCCAGCAGCCTGCGGCCGGCCTGGCACGCACGGCCGGCCCTCACTCACTGGGCAGTGGGCAGTGGAAGTGCGGGGACACTGATCAAAGCAGAGGCCTCCAGGCCGGAGTCCGAGACCGCCGCACGGACCGGGTCTAGCCTCGCAGAGCTTTGGGATTGGCTGGCTATGGCAGGGATTTCCGAGCCTCAGCCTATCAGCGCAGCTCTCATCTTCCTTAAAGGGCCCGCTTGCCTGACCGAGGAGGCCTGGTGTTTTCTTTCCCGCCTGGCGCCTGGGAGGGGCAGGTTAAAAAGGAAAATTCAAAATCCAGCGACTCAAATTTTGAGGGGAGGCAGAAGAAGCATAATGGAAATCTCACTTAAAGTCCTCAGTGAGGTTTTTCAGTTACCCACGAGGAGCCTGAGCAATCCATCCTCCCTCGCAGAGCTAAAACCTCCATAGAGCTTAATGAGCCATCTCACAGTTGTTCACATACCATGTCAACCACCACTTGTAGGCTCTGTTTCTAGAAAAGAATGTGTCTCGTGAGCGGTTGTCACTTAAGCATAATCCACAGTTATAAACATTTTGTAAGGGCTTTTCTTCTTATAGAGTAGGTTTATGTTGAGCATGGACTTTTTTTCCCCATTTGAATCTCAGCACAGACATAGTTTATTTAATTTGTTAGAGCCTCAGCCTACTCCATCTGTTGAGCTGCCACCATTAAAGTGGCAAAAAGATTAAGACAGGAAACGAAAAAGAGCAGACTTGACCAGAGTTACCAAATCAAAATTTTTTTTTTTTGACAGAGCTATCTTTCTTCCCTTCTGTTCTGAGAGATTCATTTCTTCTCACCCCACTAGTAATTTCTATCTTGAGTAAGTCAAGCCTCTCTCCCAGCTTCACTGAGAGAATACTTGAGGAACTGTTGGCATTCTGTTCTTTGTTATTAAATGGCTTGGAAGAATAGCATGGACTTCACCAGGCTCTGGCCTTGAGGAAGGTCAATGAGGAAGGTCACTGCCCGTAGCCCTGGCTGACCATCACACCTGGGGAGAAGGGATCTAACCTTCCCCAGGCTCTGTATGTGAGCGAACACCACACCGACCTGTTGCCAGAGTGACTGGGGCACCATAGAAGCAAAGCCACATGGAACTTTGACTCTTTAAGAGGGGATAACAATTGGTATGATAGCATTTGAGTGCCTGGACTCTAGCACACCTATATTTGATTTGATTTCCAGCTCCATCACTGTCACTCTTCATCCTCTCCAAAACTTATCATCTCTACAATAGGACTAAAGCCATCTAATTTATTGGATTGTGAAGACTAAATGAGATAATATATTCAGGCACTTAGCACCATGTCTGGCACACAGTTAGCATTAAATAAACAGTAGTAACCAGCAACAGTGGGATCCTGTTACTCACTCTAGGTCTGAAGGGACAAAGGTAAGGGAGCAGTTACTAAAACCAGGCGAGAGCCATAGCTGTGGCTGTATAAGAGGGCTACCAACAGGAGCTATGTTGTTCAGGAGAGGAAAGCAGTCGATGCTGACCTTTGGCCCAGGAGGGTAAGATCCTATAGTTGTAGCCACTGCGAGCACCTCAGCTCCAAGTGGGGATGGGGTGGAAAATAAAGATACATCCTTCTGTCCTTCCAGGCTCTGATATCCTGC